CATTAAGAGTTGTTAAATTTAAACTCTTAATTTACATTAAGAGTTGTTATTGAGAGGTGTTGATTTATTCCTAGCATTTTATTATTTTTTGATTGTCTTAGGTGTCATTTGTTCCTTGCTTTCTGTTTTGCTCTTTGTTGTCTGTTTTTGTTGGTTCCTGAGGTTGCCGCTAATGATTTTGTTCGTTTGTTTTCTTTTCATGATTGTCATTTTTTTTATAGTAGTGGGTTTTTATTTTACTTGGATTGTTATGGCAGTGGTAGTTATCTTCCAGGATCCAATCCCTGTACTCCCTTGAGAATTACTTGTAAGGGTGGTCGTGTGGTGATGAACTCCCGCAGTTTTTGTTTGTCTGAGAAATATACTATTTGCCCTTCATTTCGGAAGGACAGCCTTGCAGGGTAGAGTATTCTTGGCTGGCAATCTTTGTCTTTTAGTATTTTGAATATATCATCCCATTCCCTTCTAGCCTTTAGGGTTTGAATTTATTCGTTTTTTGTTGCTCTTGGAAATGGAATTAGTATTCTGGTATCACAGCGCACACTTCTCAGAGTCGCGCTGTCTCCTGGCACGGCCGCTCCAGACACGTTGCCATCTTAAAAGCCTTGTTCCTTACTTATTATTTCTTTCTCAGAAGTAATTTCATCAAGTTCCAGACCAAATTCAAAACAAAGTTCATCAAATTCTTCGTCAGTGTAGGTCCAGCCTAGGGCTTGGAAAAGCAGATCTCGCTTCACGCTGACAGTCGGCATGGCGAGTCGGATCCAAATTTGTTAATATTTCTGAGAGCCAGTTACTTCATCTGTAAAAATAGATATAATAATAATGCTTACCTTATAGGGTCATTGTGGAATAAATGAGATACTACACCTACAGTTTCTGGTACAGTGCCTGACATATAGTAAGTATTTGCAAAGATGCACTTCTTTTGTAATTATTGCAGGTATGATATCGTCATTATCATCACCATCATTATCATATTCTGAACAGTACTTGGTTAGTACGTTGACTCAGGGGCAAAATATTTTCACATTGGTTATGAATTAATATTTTATTAAACTTACCAAAAAAGTCCTTGTTTAAGCATTATTAGTTTGTTCTAGGAAATTAGCAAATATACTTTTTGAAGGTTGCATGATATCGTAATCACCAAAAGTTATATTTTTTGAGCCCTCTAAATATTAACACACATAAAGAGATTGCTGATTTTTATCTGCTTCACACTAGGACTTTTTGCTAGAGTGAAAATTGGCAAAAATCACTGAAAGAGCCTGCTATTGGCATTGTAAAATTGTTGAAGAGATAGGCCATGATCTGAAATAGGTGCTCTGACAAAGTCACATAATTCTTCTGTCAATCTCATGAGTTACTGTTTGCTAAAATATTTAATCTTTAAATATGCTTACTTTGAAATGCCAGAGTTACTAAAGAGAAAATACATGTGGTTTAGCAAAGTTGCATTTCCTCATATAAATCTTACTCCTTTTCAATTAGAACTCTTAGGGATATTCTCTTATGTTTTCATAGAAAACCATAAAACTAAAATCTGTGTGCTTTTATTTTGCTGTGTGTGTAACATAGCACTGCTTAAAACTTTCAGAGATTCAGAATCTGCCAATATTTTGAATAATTTAACTTGAATTACAAATAAAACATCAGTTTCTTGTGTACAATTTTTTATGTCATATATAGATTGTTTTACTTTTTAAAGTTAGTAGCACAATTTACATTTTTGCCTTTTTAGTTCCTAATAATGCGTGTTTTTTAAAAATTAAAACACTAAAAGAATGTAAGAGTCCCTTCCACCTCCCACTTCCCCATTACTCCTATCTAACCACTGGTTACTGTATGTATCCTTTTAGAGCATTTTTATACATATGTGAACTTTATATAGGTATGTATGTCTGCGTGTATGCTACATACTCATACATTTTGTTATTTTTAATACTATATTATTTACAACTTGCTCTTCTAATTCAATACCATGTTACAGAAATCTCATTATGTCAGTACATAAGGCTCTACTTTATATGGTATTTCTTAGTATCAGTGTACCATAATTTTATTTGTTTTCCTAATATTGGACATTTAGTTTGTTTCTAGTTTTTTTTTTTTTTTTGTTTTTTGTGACCGGTAAGGGGATTGCAACCCTTGGCTTGGTGTCGTCTGCACCGCACTCAGCTAGTGAGCGCACCAGCCATCCCTATATAGGTTCAGATATACGAACCCACGGCGGGAGCACCGCTGCGCTTCCAGTGCCACACTCTCCCAAGTGAGCCACGGGGTCGGCCCTTGTTTCTAGTTTTATTGTAAATATTATTTCAGCAAACATTTATATTCACATATATTTGTACATTTTTTAGAATAGAACAGATTGTTAGAAGTGAACTTACTGGGTCAAAGGGTATATGTTTTAAAAATGATGATACTAAAAATTGATCCTTTAAAATTTATTGTTCTAATTTATACCCCATCATAAATATATGAAGATGTCCATTTTCCTCATATTTTTCCCATTCATTCATGTCACTAATTCATATGAATTTTGCCAAACTGATATGCAAAAAGTATTTTATTATTTTAAATTATTTGTATTTCTTCTATAAATTACTATTTAGTGTCATCCTCTGTCCATTTTCTACTTATTTATTTTGCCATGTAGAATCCTTAATTTTTATGTTGCAGTTTTTGCTGACTACTGAGTTCATGTTATATTTGTAGGCCTTCACTTCTTGATATCAAAATGCACCATATTTTCTTCTAATAGTTTAGTAATTTTGCTTTTTACATTAAAGTCTTAAAACAATTTATTTTTGTGTGTAGCATGAGATAGGAGTCCAACCTCCCCCCTCCCTGCCACCAAATGAATAGCCAGTTGTTCTAAAAGTGTCTTCACCACTGATTTAAATTGCTGCCTTTATCATATTCTAAATTTGGAGTTTATTTTTTCCCCATTGATCTATTTGTCTATTCTTGTGTCAGAAACAAAATTTTCTAATTATTGTGTCTTTATAGTATGTTTTGATACCTGCAGCAATTTATCCTCCTCATTATTCTTTGGATAATGTTCCTTGGTTAATCTCATACATTTTCACATCAACATGTATTTTAGAAGGCTCTTTGCCTTCTAGAGGAAATTTGCAGTTTGTGTAATGGGATGTCATGCCCTTAACTCTGGCTGTTTTTGAACATATGACTTTGCAGGCTTAGATGCTCCATCATCATCTAGCAAGGTTTTGACCATGCTACCTTCTCACACTTATTTCCTAAGACTTTCATCACTGGCTGTCACTGCCTCTTACCTTTGCTGTTTTCCACTCTCTGTTCTTTTTTAGCTGCTTACCCTCCCAACCTTTCTCCTACCAGTATACCAACTCTGTTTGCTTGTTTGCCTCTGGTTTTCAGCTTTTGTGTGGAGCAGCTAACCTTTTGTAGATCTCACTAACAAATCAGAATGGATGCAGGCAATTCATAGTACATCAGGTTATGATCTTAGGTTTCTTAATTGTCAACCCTTTCGTTGTTACTGGCTGCTTAGAGTATACTTCACAAATGCCAAACAGACTTTTTTTTTAAACCATGCTTTTGGAGCTGTTTTATTTGATTTGCTCTGATTTGCAGGAAGTCGGTTCTCCTAAAAACTAAGATATTATTGGATAATCATTACGATACTGTATTTCTGTCATGCACAATTTGAGATATACTTACTTACTTTGCCACCCTTGTCCCTAACCTTTCAGCTAAGTCCTTAAATGATGTATTGGAATATACTGTGCCAAAATAAGAGCTGTTCTGAATTAACTGGTATGACTGACTATATCAACCTCTACTCTTGGATAACTGTTTCATGTAAGTTTATATTTCTATATCAGATATTTTAAGAGGATGGCGTTTTACTTTATCAAATTGTTATTTGCTTTATATGTGTTCATCTTATGAGACATTTAACAATGAAGTTCCTACTTAATTTTAAATGTGTTTTTATAGAAATTGGAATTACTGGTTTTTCTGAATATACCTACTATAGTACATTTTAAGCAGACTCATGTAGGTTTTTTAACATTTTCCCAGTTTATGCAGATTTTGAGTCACTTTACTAAGTTAAGACAGTGGAAAACAAAAAGTACAAAAATCCCACCCTGTGTCCTTGGTCTTAGATACACATTAAAATAGTTAAAGCTTTTAAATAAATTTTTTTCTGATTATGAAAATATTTGCCTATCTTATATGTAGGAAACATAGAACATTGCAATAAAGACAATAAATATTACCTTCCTTGCTAATTTAAAATGCAATTTTATGCATTTATGTCTGGGTATGATTAATAATATAATAGTTGATACTTATTGAACACTTAGTGTCTGCCTGCATGAACTGTTCTATACTCTGTACGTACTGACAAATTTAATCCTCACAACAACCCTATGGGGTAATTTACCTCATTTATTATCTCCAATTTACAGGTGAGGAAACTGGCCCATGGAGGTTAAGGAACTTGCCCAGTGTCATACAGCTAATAAATGTATGATGTATGTATGCATAATAAATGATGGAGCCGAGATTCAAACTCATAGTACATACTCATAGCCACTATGCTATATTGCCTTTGTATGTATTAATGTTTGCATGTGTACCATCTTGCCTGCCTATTTATTTTAATGGAATAAGGGTTTCTAAAGGGATTCTATTTTTCCCTTGGGATTAACGGACAAACAAATAAAAATTAAGGGGAGAATCTTTTTCTTTTTAATTTGTGTACTTTTATTTGTTATTTTCTGTGAGATGTTCACTTTTTATAATGTGAAAAATAGGTTTTTAAAGGAGACTAGAATTGTGATTTCATAGATATTTATATTGTGAGTTTTCTATTTCTGGGAGAATAGTTAGAGTTTAATGGATTCAAATTCCATCCCACCCACAGGAAAGTCCCTTTGCAGGCTAGACTCAAGAAACTTTGGGAGGAAGATGTAGCACTGTTCAAGGGTAATAGAAACTTTCTCTAATTCCTTACTTCAATCCTTAAAGACATCTGAGATTATCCTGGGAAACCACAAGCTGTTGCACCAAAGTGTGGTACTTGAAAATAATACTCGTTAGCACCAGTGAGATCACTTTAGGTTGCTGTTAAAGATCTGGGTCTCTGGCTGCTGCCATGCCTGTCTCTATTTAATCTTGTCTTTGGACTCATAACCACCTTCTCCCTATCTTTTTCCCTGAACTGGTTCTGTTTCTTTTTCCATAATCTGCTGTTACATTTCTTTTTCCTGTCCATCTGGCCGAACTCTTTCATAACTTATTCGATAATATGATGTCTTGATACTTGGCAGCCTGGTGAGCTCAGGTCCAGCTTTTTGGAAAGGAATGTCCCTGCTCCATTATGGCGTTTCCTTTGAGGACTGTTCTAAATTCCTCTGGATTGAAATTGCAACAGAAAGCATAGCTATTTATTCCTGAAAATAATTACTTCAGCAAATATAATGTGGCTCTTGTTGATTTTTGCCCTGGAGAACCACAACCTGGAAAACCTGGAATAAAGTAGAATTTTAGCCATTTCTCTCCATTCTCATTGAATTACGTTTGTTCGTGCTGTCCTCATTTCAAGTCTGTTCTAGTACAGTATGTCTTTAGAAGTTGTCCCCTTTTCCTTGGCCTCTCCTTCAGTTTATCCCCTGAGATTACTATAATGTAATTGAAGTAGAAGCCCAGCAGTAACAGAAGCAAGTGAGATGCTGTTGAAGAGTGTTGGGAACAGAGGAGAAAGACGAAAAAGTGGTATTTATATTGGTCATTGTCTTTCTAATAGGCAAATTTTTAGTGAAAGGAAGAATAATAGAAAAATTTTACAACGTATGATAAAAAATGTTTCTCGTGTTGCTAGGAGTGCTTTGTAAGAGTAACATTCAAAGACTTGGTGAAGCTGAGTTTGTCTGTTTTATAAATATATTTAACTTATACTTTTGGAATTTTGCCATGAAAAAGCATGTATATGTTCTCCT